CAAGTAACTAGGACTATAGGAGCATGCCACCATGCCCAGCTAATTCTTTTTATTTTTATTTTTGTAGAGATGGGGTCTTAATATGTTGCCCAGGCTGATCTCAAACTCCTGACCTCAAGTGATCCTCCTACCTCACTCTCTTAACGTGCTCGGATTAAAGGTGTGAGATACCATGGTCTCTGTTGCTCAGGCTGGAGTGCAGTGGCAGATTCATGGCTTACTGCAGCTTCGTCCTCCCAGGCTCAATCATTCCTACTACTGCCGCCTTTGAGTAGCTGGGACTATAGGCATGCACCACCATTCCCAGCCTATTTTTGAATTTTTTTTTATAGAGGCAGGGTTTCGCCATGTTACCTAGGCTGGCCTCAAACTCCTAGGCTCAAGCAATCCTGCACCAGCCTGCCGAAGTGTTGGGATTACAGGTGTGTGCTATTGCGTCTGGCCTACTACTAAAGATCTACTTGCCCAGTATGTGAAGTCCTGCCTTGGAACTGTTTGTTCCCAACAACGATCTGTCTTAGTTGATCTCCACCAGAAATCTCTAGCAGCACTGTCTGTTTCATAGATCTTTATTAAATGCTCAGAAAGTATGACTCAGCATTATATAAAAGAAGTGAATGTTTTCTCCATGTGTCTTCTAAACCTCAACTTTAGAGGAAAACAAAAAGTAGAAAGTGATACCAGAGTCAGGAAGAGCCACTGTCTCAGGAACTGAGACCCTGTAAGGGACATGATCACTTTTAGAGAGATTCAGGCAGAAGAAAGGAGGAAAAAGAGAGGAAGAAAGTGGCTTCTCCCCCTTTTTCTAATGCCTTGTCGTCAGAATTTTACAGTATGTAATAGCTTCCTGTTAAGATACAGAAAATATAATTTGTATGCTGCCAACCCTAGCATTACAGAGAATGGTGATCACAGGGCTCAAAGAGTTCAGATAAATAACCAGATATAAACCTACAGTTTTTAAAGATGTTCTTCTTTGTGTCTGAAACCCTGAACTTAAGTAAGCATTTGTACTTCCCTTTTAAAATTAAAGTTCATCAATGTTCAGTATACATTTACTGTGTATAAGCAGCTTTTCCAAACGTTTTACATGTATTACCTCACCTAAAACCTATTATAGTGCCTATATACTATATGTATATGTATGCTGTATACTATATAGATATACAGAAGAATAAACCATGGCTCAAAAATATTAAAGAACTTGATAAAAGTCACATTAGAATTTCATATTAAAAACAAAAAAACTCTGCTTTTGAAAATTCCAGACTGTTATGGAAGAACTAGAGAATTTGGGTTAAATTCCAGGGTAATTCTTAAAGATGATTAGCATTTAAAAATTTTTGTTTTTAAGGAACTTTATTACTTATGATTATGTACAGTTGAAATTTGTTTTCATGATACTCTTTAAGTATCTTAGCAGATTAAGTGGTGTTTTAAGCTTCCGTATGTTAGACCAGGATTCTTTGAGTTGCAGATGGCGGAAACTAAATGCAAACTAGCTTTTGCAAGAAGTTGAGTTTTTTTTTAATTATTATTTTTACTGTTTATCATAAATGTTAAAAAAAAAAATAGGAAACTAGGTAGAATACTACAACAGCTGGGGTGGCCATGTGTCCCAGTTTGCCTGGGATTGTTCAATTCCCAGTTTACTCATGTTGTCCTGGTGCTTTTATTAACATCTCTCCTTTCACTCTCAAAAGTGTCTTGGTTTACAATGAGAACACATGGACACAGGGAGGGGAACATCACATACTGGGGTCTGTGCCGGGGGGGAAATAGGGGAGGGACAGTGGGGGGTGGGGAGTTTGGGGGAGAGAGCATGAGGAGAAATGCCAGATATAGGTGATGGGGAGGAAAGCAGCAAATCACACTGCCATGTGTGTACCTGTGTAACAATCTTGCATGTTCTTCACATGTACCCCCAAACCTAAAATGCAATAAAAAAAAGTGTCTTGGTTTACATGGTAAATTACATGGTCACTCTAAACACCCAAATACCCATCTCTTTAATTTAACAATTATTAACATTATGGGATGTTTAGTTATCTGTTTTGTTAAGTAAATTATATATATTGAGATATTTTACCCCTGAATATGTGTCTCTTCAAAATATGCACATTATATAACCACATAACTGTGATCACAGGTAACAAAATGACCAAAAGTCTTCTAATGTTTACATATTATTTTAGGTACTCGTTAGCCCTGGATTCAGGCATGGCTGAATTGAGAGGCTCAGATAATATCTTCACTTTTGTTGTTGTTGTTGAATCTGGTCTTGCTGGTCACATTCTTAGGTTGGCTCTCTTTGGATGGTGGCTAAGGTGGCCCCTAGCAATTTCAATTTTTCATAGTCTTTAGTGTTTGTAATCTCGGAGAAAGGTCTTCTTGAAGCACCTATATTAGTACCTGTAAAAGACTGACTGGCCCTGCTTAGGTCACTTGCCCATCTTTTTATAAAGTTTGGTGTTCAGACTTACTAAGACTGTGACAAGCCTAGATAACATGTCTGTCTCTGAGGTGGGAGAAATAATAATGTTTGATTGATGGATAAAAGAGGAAGACTATTCAAAGGTAAAGAGAGTTTATGTCTAGAAAGTCCAAGGGATGCTGTGTAGGCAAAAACAGGATTTTTCTTTCATGTAGTAATAGTTAGTGTTGATGGATGTTGAGTGGTTTCTCTGGTAAATATGCCTAAGTAAATTTGTTATTAATTCTAAGGAGATAGACCTCTATTAATAAGAAGCTCTTTATAGTTGTATTATATACTTACCATAAGATTTCTTTATTTGTAAAACAAATACTGTACTTGAGGTTAGGGTGGTTCTTTGACTGTCTGTGATGTTACTTAGAAATGTCTTTAGATTCATACGCATCTAATTTACGTTGCAGTGTTGAGGTGAACTTTAGAGACTATGTTAGGTGTTGTCCTGTTCCAAGAGTTTATTGTGAAATACCAGGGTTAGGCTGTGGCAGACAGTAAAACAGTCTGAAAGAGCTTGTCTGCAGTAATATTTTAAACTCATTTAAACTTAGAAAAATATTTTGACAAAAAGTAATGTAAAAACAATTTTAAAAGTTTTGAAGGGGTGACTATCAGATGTATAATTAAGCATATTTTCTTTCCCTTTTTGTAGTTGCTGCAATAGTATTATTCTGTTCCGCTTCTAGTCCACATAGCATACCTCTGACAGAGGTGATTGGGCCAATATGGCTGATGCTGCTCCTGGGAACTGTGCACTGCCAGATTGTTTCCACAAGAACACCCAAACCTCCTCTAAGTACAGGGGGTAAAAGAAGAAGGTACTGTTTTTTGAAAAGTAATCTTTTTGTACATTTATGTAATTTGAATCCACAATTGTTCTTGACTCCTCTTATCTTGTAAAGTTGCTCTTTCAAATAAAACACTGAGCTTCAGAATCAATTACCAAATGATTTAGCTTCTATATTTGCTTAAAGGCCATTTAAAGACCACATGCCTGTGTTTTTGTTTTGTTTGCCTTGAAGCTCATTTATAGTCACCTAATATCAATGTAGACAATATATGTTAGCTAGATTGATAATAATTCCCACTATTTATAAAATCTTGTATTTCTAAGATGCTTTGGCAAAAACAAAAACCTAGAAAAAATTTCAGTTAAACTGTATTTACTAAATGCAATTTGGTTTTGTTGGTTTTGCTTTATTTTGTTTTGTTTCTTTTTTTTTTGAGACAGGGTCTCACTCTCTCACTCTGTCGCCCAGGCTGGAGTCCAGCTCACTGCAGCATGGACTTCCTGGGCTCAAGTGATCTTCTCACCTCATTCTTCTGAGTAGCTGGGACTAAAAGGGTATGCCACCCTGCCTGGCTAGTTTTTTAATTTTTTTTATTTTTTGGAGATGGGGTCTCATTTTATTGTCCAGGTTAGTCTTGAACTCCTGGACTCAAGTGATCCTCCCACCTCGGCCTCCCAGTGCTGGGATTACAGGCATGAGCTACCATACCTGGCCACTAAATTCTATTTGGATCTGTTTAATATTGCCCTTTGATTCATTAAACATAGCATCTCTCACTGGCCACCTAGTACCCTGGAATTTGTTTTAAGGTTCTTTTGGAGCATATCCTCTTTTGAATATCATTGCTGAGAGATTGTGACATTTGTAGTTTTTGGGTGTTGAGATTTAAGCCCATCTCAGTTTTAAAAGATATTACCTACATTAGATAAATAGCAATGTTGATGAATTAGATTATAATTCTCTCCAATGTAAATTTTCTTCTTTCTTCATCTGCAGATAAGTGGCATTTAAATAGGGAAGAAATGCTTTTGTAAATATCTGCTCAATGCCATCCTTACAACCTTCTGTCCGCTGACTGGCCAGTATATGCAAGGACCAATACCTTAACATTTCTAGAAATTGGTCTTGAATATGCACCATGATATTTGGATTAAATTTTATCTAGTAAATCTAAGTTTTGTTGTGTTTCTGTGTTTATGTTTTCCAAAATTTTGATTGTACTACCAAGAAAGTAGTTACTAAAATGTTAAAGCTGCCTTCCATTCTTAATCTCTTCTGATGAAGGAAATTAAGAAAAGCAGCCCATTTGGAAGTACATAGGGAAGGCGATGGTTCTAGTACCACAGATAACACACAAGAGGGAGCAGTTCAGAGCCACGGTACAAGCACGTCTCACAGCGTTGGTGCTGTCTTCAGAGATCTCTGGCATGCTGCTTTCTTTTTATCAGGGTTTGTATTTATTTAAGGCTTTATATGGCAAAGAGATGCACTATCCCTTTTCTGGTACTTCAGTCTCAGGTAATGGATATTAATTACTTTAAATGTGACAGCCTCATTATGAATTTTGTTTTGATAAATTATAATAGTATAGATAAAGGAAAAATAGAGACCGCAAAGTTTTTTGGGGTCATATATAAATACATCTATATGAGAATAAATATACCAAAGTATATTTAGTTAGGATTTTTTTTTTTTTTTTTGTGGACAGAGTCTGGCTCTGTTACCCAGGCTAGAGTGCAATGGCACGATCTTGGCTTACTGCAACCTCTGTCTCCCTGGTTCAAGTGATTCTCGTGCTTTAGCCTCCTAAGTAGCTGGGATTGCAGGTGTGTGCTACCATGCCCCGCTAATATTTTGTGTTTTTAGTAGAGACGGGGTTTCACCATGTTGGCCAGGCTGGTGTGAACTTCTTACCTCAAGTGATCCACCCACCTCGGCCTCCCAAAGTACTTGGATTAAAGGCTTGAACCAATATACTCAGCCAGGGTTTTTTTTATTTTGGTTTCTTTTATATTTCTCAAATTCTATTTTACTTCTGTTAATTGGTTAATTTATTTTTATCACCATTTTAGGTCAAAATTGACTGTATTAAAATGTCTTGTGAATTGTATAATTTTTTTCTTCTAAGTTCTTGCCTCAATTGTCCAAAATTATCTGAAATAAAACATACAGGCATTGTTATTTAAGTGAATAAAATATATATTATAGTATGTAATTCTACAGTGTACCATGTGCATTTTGAACTGTACAAAAATGATTTTTTGTATAGTTATACCATCGATGAAGACTCACCCAATAGGAAAATATAATTACAGCAAACAACAAAAATTTAAACCTAACTCAAGCTTGTATTATTATTATTTTGAATATTTAATTCAAAACACTTAAGGGTTATATTACTAGTTTATATATACCTATAATAAATTTGAAAAAAGATAAAAAGCTATGGTCAAATGTTGAATGTAACTGATGAAAGGTACTAAATTAATCAAGAAAAGGGATACTGCAAATAACTATTCTGTCACTTTGTTAACTCCTCCACTAATACCATATTTCATCAATTTGTGATTGTGCTCTTAGGATAAAGTTTATCATGCATTATAGAACTAAGCAATTACATCCTGGGCATATTTTCATTGATTATAATTTTGGGGAAAGTTTTCCAGATTTTAATAGTTTACAGTAACATGACAATAATTAAGTGGAAACCCTTTGTATTCCAATCACCTATTCTTCCTCCAGAGACAGTAAGTTTTGTTTTTGCTTTTTAACTTTGGTTGAATTCTATTACTCTCTCTTTAGTGTTTTTTTAAATTTTTACCCATAATAATATATAGTTCTCCTTTCTAACATTGATATGCAACAATTTAGTCACTGCAAAGTCAGTTTCTTGAACATTTTCCAGATAAGTAGTTATAAATTGCATAATGGATATATTTCACTTTTTGGGAATCATTCATTTGTTTTGGTTGTCTACAACTGATATTATGTGTGTGTAGTATTCAGAGTCCCCCTAAAACTAGTAGGTTGATACCTTTGGAAGTTTACCATATTTCTCGCATCAAATGAGATTGAAACTTAAATATTCCTGCTATTGGGCAGCAGCATGGCCATGATCATGGCTGCCATTATAGTGGTTAATTCACTCTGGACTTATTCTCTTTAATCATGACAGCTGTACATCTATATATTTTAAAAGATGTACTGTGTTTTATCTATCATTTTGGGGCTGGTTTGCCAGCATATGAATGAGACTTTTAAAAATAATAGGTACAAGAAGACCTTAAGAGAAATGTTAATTTTAGAAGTTGTAAGCTGAGTTCAGAGATCTTAATGGTATTTTCTTTTTTCAGGCTTTGTTAAGTCAGGAAGGGCTTAAACTGAAATATCAACTAAGACTTAACAAAATTTTTTCTGGTGATAAATTGAAAAGCTGGATACTTCCATTAAGTTATCTCTGTTAACATAACTGATAGGAAAATATTAATAACCACACAGATATCTAAGCTTTGTGTATGGTGTCTTGATGGTTTTCTAGATTTTAGGGTGAGAACCACTATGTGTTTTATATATATATATTTAACCTATCTTACTGCACACTGAGAGAAGTACTGTATTATTTTTTATTTTATTTATTTATTTATTTATTTATTTTTGCAATAGGGTCTCACTCCTGTAGTCCAGGCTGGAGTGCAGTGGCGTGATCATGGCTCACTGAAGCCTTGACCTCCAGGCTCAGGCGATTCTGCTACCTCAGACTCAAGTATCTGGGACTACAGGCATGTGCCACAACCACCCAGCTAAGAGAACCACTGTTATAAAATCCTGTATTTATAAGTTGGAAAGATGCTATTTGTTATCTCCAAGTACATTTTATTCTCAAGATAAACTGTTCTTTTTGAAACAAGACACAGTATTTCTCATTTGAAAATTTAAACCCTTTTAAACTTAAGAAAACAAAGTCTAAGAAAATACCAATTTAAAAAGATATAGAGGTCGACCATGGTAGCTCATGCCTGTAATTCCAGCACTTTGGGAGGCTGAGACCAGTGGATAACCTGAGGTCAGGAGTTCGAGACCAGTCTGACCAACATGGTGAAATCCCATCTCTGCTAAAAATACAAAAATTAGCCAGCTGTGGTAGCAGGTGCCTATAATCCCAGCTACTTGAGAGACTAAAGCAGGAGAATTGCTTGAATCCAGGAGGTAGAGGTAGCAGTGAGCCAAGGTTGTGCCATACTCCATTCCAGCCTGGGCAACAGAGCAAGACTCCATCTAAAAAAAATAAAAGATAGAAATCAGTTATATTTCTTAAGAATTTATTACTTTAATTTCAATGAATTATCTTAATTCGTTTAAAATTTCTACTGAAGAGATTGAATAGGATGAATTACATCTTGATTGTGTATAGTTCAGCATAGTACTTACTTCAGAAGTCACATGGATCTTAGGTTTTCTTTCATGTCCTCTAAGATTCATTTCAGCATCCCAGTATCACTGAAAGACAGCAAACAGGAATTAACGTTCTTTTTTGAGAAGAGAAAGTAACTTATGTAAATTGATCTGATGAATTAAAGACAGCAGAAAACCAGATCACATGTTAACTAATAGGCCTGAGTGACTTACCTTTAAGATTCCTGTCACATTTAGCCTTAGTAGTTATTGTTTTTTAACACTAAAGTGAAAGTTAAAGATTTAATAAAGCCAGGCATGGTGGCTTACACCTGTAATTTCAACACTTTGGGAGGTCAAGGTGGGAGAAATCGCTTGAGCCCACAAGTTCGAGACCAGCCTGGGCAATAGTGAGAGCTCATCTCTACAAAAAAATAAACAAAATTAGCCAGGCATGGTGTCATGTGCCTGTAGTCCTAGCTACTTGGGAGGCTAAGGTGGGAGCATTTCTTGAGCCCAGGGTGTTGAGGCTGCGGTGAGCTGAGATCGTGCCACTGTACTCTAGCTTGGGTGACAGAGCAAGACCCTGTCTCAATAAAAATTAATAAATTCATTTTCTTCACAGAATGGAGTATACTGCAGAATGTAAGTTAACGTGATATGCAGTTCCACCAGAAAATTTTGGTACAAGGATTAAAATTTGGCTTTTACTGACTTGTGATTTAAGTAGTTTGGTCATTTAAGCTATAAACTGGGTGATGTTCTTTTGCCTGTCTTCCACATACAAGGATGGAGGGGATTTACATACCAATATATACTAGATTTTAAAGAAATACCTTATGGCCACAACTAGATACGTCATTAATATGTTAAGTCACTGTATTTTGGAGTTGGACTGGTCTTAGAAGATTACAGGTACCACAAATGAACCTAATCTTGCGGGTTTCTTTCAAATTTATGTGTTATAATGGCACCCAGGAAATATGAGGGCCCAAAGGTCTTTGAAGGGCTATTAGCATGTGACCAAGGTATATGCATAGCTCCAGATAGTAGTGACAATAATATGGAGACTTTTGTATCTTTTTCATATATTTGAGATTTTATACACTCTTGCTTCTCCACTATCCACTTTTCCTCTCCCTTGATTCCTAGCCTTGTGGAAGTGAGAGCCGGACTAGAAATTTCATACTGTGTTCTAGAATAACAGTTATCTGCTACTGTTAACTTTCTCCCCAGCAACTCTCTCATGTCCTTTAATACTGGAAGTCTTCTGTCTAATTATATACCTCTGAATATTTTTGGGAATATCCACAAACACTTCCAACCTTTATTGTTTTATGGCAATACAGAATACCATGTGGGTTCTTGATTACCTAACTAGGTTTTTAATATCTTTGAAACAATAGCTTTGAGATTTTATAAACTAGCAGGTCCTTTAAAAGTTATATTAACTTTTTGGTTTTTTTCAATGTGAAAGACACATTCAGTTTTCTATTTATGTAGATTATACATTTATTTATATTTTTCAGAAAAAAACCAAAATTATCTCACAAAGAAACTGATTTTCCTGCATGTTTTTTTTTTTTTTTTTTTTGAGACGGAGTTTTGCTCTTGTTACCCAGGCTGGAGTGCAATGGCGTGATCTTGGCTCACCGCAACCTCCGCCTCCTGGGTTCAAGCAATTCTCCTGCCTCAGCCTCCCAAGTAGCTGGGACTACAGGCGCGCACCACCATGCCCAGCTAATTTTTGTATTTTTAGTAGAGACGGGGTTTCACCATGTTGACCAGGATGGTCTCGATCTCTTGACCTTGTGATCCACCCGTCTCGGCCTCCCAAAGTGCTGGAATTACAGGCATGAGCCACTGCGCCCGGCCCCTTGCCTGTATTTCTAAATGTCGTTTCTTCCCAAGATTAGTTTTGACATAGAATTAACCACTCCTTCAATGTGAAGCATAATACTTTAGAAAATTCTGCAAGGCCATGCCATCAAAAGATTACAGTGGTAGACTGCTTATAAAACTGTAAGTCTTGTATGTTGTTTCATTTCAAATCTTTTCTGTTTTCTATTAAAAATCCAATGCAGGAAATACTGATGGCTTGGGTTTTTTTGTTTGTTTTGTTTTGTTTTTTTTGAGACAGTGTCTTACTCTGTCCTAGGCTAGAGTACAGTGGCATTATTCATGGCTCACTGCAGCCTCTACCTCCTGGGCTCAGGTGATTCTCCCACCTCAGCCTCCCAAGTAGCTGGGATTACAGGCATATGCCACCATGCCCAGATAGTTTTTTTTTTTTTTGCATTTTTAGTAGAGACAAGTAAAACATGTTGCCCCAGGCTGGTCTTGAACTCTTGGGCTCAAGCAGTATGCCTCCCAAAGTGCTAAGATTCTTGTTAGTAAAGAAATACCTAGGTTAGGTGTTGTGACTCATGAGTACCTATCCTAACCCAGGCATTGAGTCACATGTTGGGAATACAATGCTGAACTCTTAAACTAGTGGAGGAAAGTCACATATAATCCACTAAAATACAGTGTTGCAAATGTAAACAAAATATCCTAGGAGCACAAAGGAATGTACAGTGATCTCTGCTGAGGAGAGTCAGGAAGGCTTCACATTTCAGTTTGGTCTTGAAGTAAATTTTAATAAGGAGCTGGATATGCAGTGTTTTTATAAGAAGAATAGTTCTCAGAAATCTGATAAGGTCATTTTTCTGAATAGAAACTAAGCTAAACTCAAGGAGGTGGGAATAGGAGAGTGAGCAACTAAGATAGAGTTGAGGAGGGCCGCAGCCTTGGTTCACTGACTGGGTGAATGGCTAAGTCTGGATTGCTTGGCTTTCTTCGAGGTCCTTCCCCCTCCATCTGGAAAGATATTCCTAGGAAAAGCCCCTAGTTGCCCTTATAAGCTTTTTTAACACCCAGGACAGAATTAAATCTGAGGTGTTTTTTTGTCTCAGAGAATCATGGAAAAATAGTCAGAAAAAATACTGAAAATCACAGTTTTGTTATTTCTAACATCCCTCAGAATTTTAGGGATTCTCAAAGTGGCAAATGAAAATCTGTAATCAATTTACAATATTCTGAAAAATGTACCAGAAATTTGACATTTTCTGGTAGTATTAAATGACAGCTTTCCTTGATTTGTGCTAGAATTATATTGGATCTATAGTAAGCTGAGGAGATTCTGAATGAGCTGTCTTCTGAATATAAACTATTTTCTCTTTATTTTTATGCTCAATTTGGTACACAGCTTTTCAAAAGCTAGGACTAAGGTCATGGTCAAATCAATGAAATTACTACAATATTTGCAGTTTACAAAATAACATTTTCACTGATTTCATCTTAATTTATTCCTCAAAACACTGTAATCACTTAATAACAACAGAGCTTGGAGGCCTCCATTCTCTCTTCAAATTGCTCCACGCTTCTAGGTTTTGTCCTCGCCTTGACTGTTGTCAAGGGCACACTGTGCATGTCTAGGAAATACTGCTTCTATCATGGAATAAATAAAAGCAGTATAGAGCTGTATGTCTCCTGTTTTCTTTTATTATTATTCTACTTTAAGTGCTGAGGTACATGTGGAGAACATGCAGGTTTATTACATGTGCCATGATGGTTTGCTGCACCCATCAACCCGTCATGTACATTAGGTATTTCTCCTAATGCTATCCGTTCCCTGTGTCTATGTGTTCTCATTGTTCAACTCCCACTTATGAGTGAGAACATGTGGTGTTTGGTTTTCTGTTCTTGTGTTGGTTTGCTGAGAATGATGGTTTCCAGCTTTATCCATGTCCCTCTAAAGGACATGAACTCATCCTTTTTTATGGCTGCATAGTATTCCATGATGTGTATGTGCCACATTTTCTTTATCTAGTTTATCATTGATGGGCATTTGGGTTGCTTCCAAGTCTTTGCTATTGTGAACAGTGCTGCAATAAACATGTGTGCATGTTATAGTCAAATGATTTATAATCCTTTGGGATATGCCCAGTAATGGGATTGCTGGGTCACGTGGTATTTCTGGTTCTAGATCCTTGAGGAACCACCACACTGTCTTTCACAATGGTTAAACTAATTTACACGTCCACCAACAGTGTAAAAGCATTCCATTCTAACTGGCGTGAGATGGTATCTCATTGTGGTTTTGATTTGCATTTCTATCACGACCAGTAATAAGCTTTTTTTCATGTTTGTTGGCCGCATAAATGTCATCTTTTGAGAAGTGTCTGTTCATATCCTTCAAGGAGAACTCTTCAAGGAGAATTACAAATCACTGCTCAGAGAAATAAGAGAGGACACTAACAAATGGAAAAACATTCCATGCTAATGGATAGGAAGAATCAATATCGTGAAAATGCGCATACTGCTCAAAGTAATTTGTAGATTCAATACTATCCCCATCAAGCTACCATTGACTTTCTTCACAGAATTAGAAGAAACTACTTTTAAATTTCATATGGAACCAAAAAAAGAGCCTGTATAGCTAAGACAATCCTAAGCAGAAAGAACAAAGCTAGAGGCATCATGCTACCTGACTGCAGACTATACTACAAGGCTACAGTAACCAAAACAGCATGGTACTGGTACCAAAACAGTTATATAGACTAATGGAACAGAACAGAGGCCTCAGAAATAACACCACACATCTACAACCATATGATCTTTGACAGACCTGACAAAAACAAGCTATGGAGAAAGGATTCCCTGTTTAATAAATGCTGTTGGGAAAATTCCTATTTAATAAATGGTATTGGGAAAAGTCATATGCAGAAAACTGAAACTGGACCCTTTCCTTACACCTATACAAAAATTAACTCAATATGGATTAAAGCTTAAATGTAAGACCTAAAACCATAAAAACCATAGAAGAAAACCTAGGCAATACTATTCAGGGCATAGGCATGGGCAAAGACTTCATGACTAAAACACTGAAAGCAATGGCAACAAAAGCCAAAATTGACACATGGGACCTAATTAAACTAAAGAGTATCTGCACAACAAAATAAACTAGCATCAGAGTGAGCAGGTAACCTACAGAATGGGAGAAAAATTTTGCAATCTCTCCGTCTGACAAAAGGCTAATATCCAGAATTTACAAAGAACTTAGA